GTGTTTGGTTATCAAGCCCCAAACTAGACTGACCCAAATTGCCCCCCACCCCAACCCCTGGGGCCCACAACAAGCCAACACTTCATCCATCTCTGCTCCGCCCAGGCCCTGATGAGGAGCGGCTAAAGCACCCCAGCCTCAGGCCCTGTGCTCAGGCTCCAGGGCCACCCTGCTATAAATAGCCCCTGGGGTTTCAAGTGTTGCCACTTCCAGAGGAGGCCACCACAGCTGCTTTGAACAGCTGGACACCACAACCAAAGCCAAGGCCGGCAGCGTGGCCAGGAAAAGGGGTGCAAGCGTGGGACCCGGGAGAGGAGCAACGGATACCTGAGATAGACTTGGTAGGGAAAGGGGGTACCCAGGAGAGCTGAGAGCCACCAAAGCTGCAGGGCCAGGGGGCGAGTCACCAGGAGAGCTGGCTTCTGTTTCCCCTCTCCCAAGGATTACAACATGCCACATTCCTCCGCCTCCCCACCCCACCCCCAAAAGCCAGGAAGATAAATAAAAACTTGGCTGCACCCTCGTCTGGCCAGGCCGCCTCCGAGGTGATAAGGCCTAGTCCTGGCTGGCTCTCTCTGCTCTGCCAGGCTGCCTCTCTCTCCTCTGCCAGGCTGCCTCTCTCTCCTCTGCCAGGCTGCCTGGGGGCCGGGGGTGGGGCTGCCATGGACAGTGCCCCCCCTCCTCCACCAACTGCAGAGGAGGGGGACACGGACAGCTGGACCATCACCCCCTGATGAATCAATGGGCTACTGGCGAACTGACAGGACTTCCTGTTTTCTGCAAAGCATGGGGGCACGTGATGCTTGCTGGCAGAGTGCAGGAGGGGTGGGGGGGCGAACAGGTCTGTCCAGGGCTGGTGCCCCCAGGGCAGACTGCAGGGACGGTGAATGGCTGGGGGGTGGGGGTGGAACTGTGGACAAGCAAACCACACACAACACCCCCCCCACACACACACACAGCGGTGACCTCAGGCTCAAGGTGCAGACTAAGGTGGGAGGGAAGAGGGAGCCAAGCATCTACAGACCCCCACCACTGCGCTCGCTCCCTCCCTGAAGGATGTCCATTGACAGATGCCACGGCCTGCATCCAGGTGCTGTTCCCGGAGCCTCATATTGCTGATATTCCACTGAGGAAAAGTACCTGGTGTCTTCCACCCACCTGAGCCTCGTGGGGCACGCGGCGGGGGAGGGGCAGGGGAGACCTTGCTCCTGTCACTTCCTACCTGCTCCACCTATAGCACCTGGGAAATTAGGAGAGACTTTACAAACAGGGCTACAAAGGGCTTTTCTTTTTAGTAGAAACGCCCATCTCTCTACAACTCTGACAAAGGGCTGTCGCTGTGGAGCTGAGACCCAGGTGGCCCACCTGTGTCCAAGCAGAACTGTTTACCGTAAGAGTTTGGCAGGGGGCTTTTCCAAAGCAGACCCTACCTGGCTTCTCTTCCGGGGCCTCTGAATGCACTGACGCTTCACTACGTTGGCTGGCATCCAGGGCGGCGGTCAGTCATTCTCCACACCAGGGTCTCCTCTCTCCCTCCGCCCCCACCCCTTTCCCTCCAAGGCTCCCAAAGCCCTTTACCCAAGTGGCTGGGAGTGTCCTCATGGCTCCTCCCCACACAGAGATCCACAGAAAAACTCTTGGTCCATGTCCCTGGACCCCAAGCAGGACCCCCTCCCCACCCAAACACTCCTTGGCTGAAAGACGTCCACCACCAAAACGTTCCATCTGGTATCTCTCTAAGCCTCAGCCTCACTGGTCACCACTAAACAGTGGCTGGGGGCCCCACTCCCTGTCCTCCTCCACGGGACAAGAAGCAAGAGCCCCAGGACGTGGGTAGGTGCGAGGAAAGCCCAGCCTTCCATCCAGGTCCACAGACCAAACACCACAGCACTGGCCCAGAAGGAAAACTATTTCCTGAGCCCCCCTCCTTGCCAGCCCCAGGGGTGCACGGTTGGGAGGAGGGGGGTCTGTAAGCAAACACCAAGCCAGGCAGCCTGAGGCTGGGGCTCCACCAACGTCAAGCGCCCATCCCCATTCCGGCATCTCCTCTGGGGGCTATCACACACCCCATCCCACCCCCGCCCCACCAGCCCCTCCCGCCACACCTCTTCCTCTCTCCTTCCTGCCTCCAGCCTGGATTTTTCCAAAACAAAGTGCGACACGGCACTCCATCCGCAGGCTGCACTTCACATCCACATCCACACCGAGGGCGGAAAGCAGCGCTCCTGCCCTGTGAGCCAAGGGACAGGGGCAGGAAGCCATCTGGGCAAACAGGCAGGGATGTGCAGGTGGCCTCCGGGCAGCTCTGTCCCCTCAGTGGCTGGACCAACTGGATCTCATGCCCGCACCCAGGTACCTTAGAAAGCCCTTTCCCCTCGGCAAGTCCTCAGGCCACCAGAGAACCCACTCCCTCCCGTGGTCCGTCCTGGGATCCTTTACCTGGACTTGCTAGACCAGGAATGGGGACCATCCAGTCCACAGGCCATAGAAGGCCCAAGACATCATCAGTGCTAGCTGACACCCCACGCCTCTCAGAAGAAAAGCTGTTCTAGCCGTCACACTAAAGTATTCTCCACCCTCGTCCACTCTGACTCACAGTGCCTTAAAGGACAGGGCAGAACTGCCCCCGGAGGAGCCCAAGACTATAACTCTTTACAGGAGTAGAAAGCCTCATCTGTCTCCTTCAGAGCAGCTGGTGGTTTCAAACTACTCACCTTATGGTTCCACAGCCTAACACGTAACCTGATATGCCACCACTCATATTAAAGGGAATTCACTAAATGTTTGACCAAGATGGCTCAAGAATGATGCCATAGCTATCTATCCTAATGGCGCTTTGGCAGGAAGAAATGCTACCCACCCCTGCCCTACTCCCACATTTACCTTGTCCTTCTAAATCTGGACAAGATCCCAAGCCCCTGACCCATCCTTCCCATGCGCGCACATGTGGGCACATACACACACAGACACGCATATTCCAGATCAGCAAAACTTTAAGAAAAAGAAAGAAACTCTCCAGTCCCAACAATCGGGCCAGGTTTCCCTCTCCAGAACCATGGTCATACACACCCTCCTGGTCAAAAAATTCTTCATGATGTCCAACTTCACCCTGCCGCTGTAGCTCCTGCATACAGGATCGGTGTGGGCCAGGCTGGGGATGTGGGGAGCAGCCACTCTTGGCCTTGACTTATAAGCCTGCTCGGACCACTGGCTAATGGGCTTGGCTCCCACACAGTCACCCTGTTCCCCAGCCAAGGGTTAGGAATCCTGGATAACACTGGATCCAAGCAGCGATCCCAGGGAGGGAGGGCGAAGGCGTCCGGGGAGCCTTTGTTCCTTCCTTGAATCTACTATCCTAGGGTATCAGGAGCTGGAAATCCCCAGTCCAGTTTCTGGCCCTCTGTCGAAAGGGCAGTCGTGAGCATGGCTCACATGTATTGAGCACACATTATAGATGCTCCGTGTGCATCCAGTCACTTGACCCTCAGTAGCGGTTACACGAAATGTTCGCTTCCCCGTGGACCCAGCCCCAGAAACCTCACAGCGTGCACGAGGCAACCTCCCCAGAATGCTCCCTGCGCCCAGGGGTCAAGCATACCTTGAACAGGGCCTTCCCCACTAACTTGAGAGCCATGCTCCCTGCTCCTCCTGATGGGCCTTTCCGGGACTTAGACGCCTCGGTGCTGCAGGCTGCACCAGGGCAGTATGGCCGTGGCAATGGGCTCCCCACAGTGTGGCTGTCTGCAGGAGTGGCTGTCTTCTTCTCAAGC